GGGGGAGGGGGGGACGCAGGTTTGTTCCAGGTATATCAGTCTCCACATGAAGGCTGGAATTTTAACAACAATTGGTTACCACTCTAACCCAGGAAGCAAAGATGAGAATAGAAGGCAAGGAAGCTACTATATGGTGACAGTATGTAGCCTAAGATCCAAATCTACACACAACCATTTAGTAGAAGGCTAGAAGCACACGTACATCTCCATTATAACAATCAAAGCACATATGCATTAAGAGTCAGAACCTATATACTTATCACAAAAAAAGGAGGCAGAAGCTATACGAGCTCGCAGATTACTGCAATCTATATAATGCGGTCAAATGATATTTAAACAGAGATCTAACTGACAAGCATGGTACCTCGGATGCTATCACAGTAATCACATCCACAGAGAATGCACAAGTCAATGAACTGATCCATACTAAGTTCGAGCTCCTCTAATATCTGCGATAAGATATGTATATATATATCAGTGATTATGTACTTGACATCAACAAAAAATATAGAAAGTGTTCAGGACCATTTTACCTGGGAGATATCAAATTCCATCACTGGAATCTTTTTGGAGCTAGGATCCATTAAATGGCGAAGAAACCTTGGAGCTCCAAAAGTTAAGGAATCCATATCTTCTGAGGCTACAGCATAGACCTGACAAGCAGAGGAACCTCATCTATAAAGATGCCCGACGAATGACTGAGAAGTGGAAAAACTGACAGAATTACAATTCACTACTCTTCAGAGAAACATTTCACTGTCAACCCCCACCAAACCTCTGAAGTAATCATTATAGCATATGTGCGAATGACTATACATACCATGAAGAAACTTTTGTGCAAATTTAGGCTAAATATATCCATTACAACATTATAAAATTAGATATTCCAATGATTAGAAGCATCAAACAAGTTACCAGGTAATCTGAGCATGTCATTAGTGATGTTTGCTTTAATACCCGGGCATAGTACTAAGCAATTTATTATTTGACAAGGAATACATGCCTTTTCGGCCTTGCAAAGTGCAGCACACTGAGCCTCTGCTTCAGAAGGAGCCTAAGAAAACCATCAAGGGAAAAATTTAGACTTTCCATAGCATCAGGGGCAAAAATTGTACTTTGCAGAAATACCATTGTATGTAAAATTACTTGAAAAAAGGTGCAGCGAATACCATTAGCCATCTAAAAAACACCCTACAACCAGAATGACTATACAGACATCCTCATATCGAACTCACCTCAACAACGGGTACACCCATCAGTCTAAGAAGCTTCTTGCAGTCATCATTGTGTTGGGGCGTAACCTGAAAATCAGGTATGTGTCATTCAAATACGTGCACAGGTTTTGGCAATTTACCATGTAAAAAAAAGGGTTGGAATCCAAAAAATTTGGGAGCTTTACGAGCCGAAGCATACTATACAATGAGATATCCCATATTTCACAACAAATCATTTTATTCATTTTATTCAAAGTCTCAAACACTTCACTGGTATTAGTAGCTACTATTGCACCACAAACATGCCAACCTTACAAGTGTATTAAAAAGTTATTCTAAAATTATTGCCTGAGAGTTAAAACTTCTTTTTCTACTCAGAACCAGCAAATTTATGTTGAAGAAGGTTGTAAATCATAATTCAAATGCAGAAAATCAATATGGTTACAGGCTTTGGAGTTTGAGCATATATGCGCTTCAGAAACATTGTCTGCACAAAATGACATTAAAGAGTGAAGCTCAACAGATTATGTGTAAACAAAGGCGCTTCCTTTTCTTGACATTATTACTTCTCTACTGTTGTACTTTTTCAGCACAGTTTCACAAATCTTGTATTGGTAGATAACTAAGGCTGTATGGTGGGCTGGGCTGGGACCGGGACCGGACCGGGCCCGCGGTCTTAACGGGCTAAACGGTCCCGGCGGGCCGGTCCTGGTGGGCCGGTCCCTGGTGGTGTAAAAGCCCGGGGCGGGCCGGTTCCTTACATCAAGCCCATGAGCCCGGGACCGCTAAGCCCGGGACCGGCAGGCGGGCTTGGGCCGGTTCAACCGGGCCTAACGGGCTCCAACGGCTCTTTTTAAAAAAAAAAAGACCAACGGTCAGATTTTTAAAATCTAGCCGTTGGCCTATAATTTTCAACCGTTTGCAACTTTAAAAAATAGCCATTTGGTCCCCAAACTTTATATAATTACACTTTTCCCCAATTCTCAACTATAAATACCCCCTCATTCTTTCATTTTTACTCACCAATTCATCAATCTATCTCAATCTCTCTCAATCTATATCTAATTTCTCTTCTATAATTGCTTATTTTATTATTGCAATTTCGTGAAAAATTGTGAAGTTGGTGAATTGAAGTATTCAAGTCTTCAAGTCTTCAACGATTTTCAATTTTCAAGAAGTTGTTCGGCAATTCGGTAAACTCGTTCCAACTCTTAAGTTTTAAGAATATATTTTTGTGTGTTTAGTTTGCATAATTGTAATTAATATGGCATTTTCTTTGAAAAAAATGTTTGGTGGTAAGGGAAAAGCTAAAATTGGTGAAAGTAGTCTCCAACCTACTACCCTTCCCCAGGCTCCCCGACCCAGACCGGTAACCCGTCCTGCTGCTCCTATTATAAGAATATATTATTGCTAACACTGTTGCAGATATTTGTAGATATTTTTGCATTAGAGATAAAATAATGGCAATTTCTATGGATAATGCTTCTAGTAACACTAGTGCTATAGGCATACTTACAACAACACTAAATCCTGCATTTAGTAATTGTTTCCATGTGAGATGTATTTGTCATATTTACCATTTAATCGTCGGTGATGGTATGAGAATTTTAAATTTAGAAATTGAAAGGTTAGAATGGCTCTTAATTGGCTTTTTTATTCAAACCGTAGAAGTAGACTTAGAGAGTATTTTAAAAAATATGATGAATTTGGCCTTAGAGAAAGAAAGGTTCCTAAACCTTGTCCAACTAGATGGAATTATATGTACGAAAGTTTAGTAGTTGCATATGAATATAGAAACTCAATTAATGCAACGTTTAATGCTCGTGTTGGTGGTGAGGATGATGATGAAATCCTTACAAATCAAGATTGGTAAATTCTTATAGATTTTTTAGAACATTTTCAAATTGCTACAAATGCATTTTCTGGACAATATTATCCTACTATTTCAAATTGTTTAGTTTATATTGCAGCACTATGTGATTTGTTTGTTGAATTTTCGGAGGTGGGGAAATTTATAAACTTGCTATAAATGCAATGAAAGAAAGTTTTAAAAAACATTTTTTCCTAATCCCCCCTATTTATGGTGTTGCTGCAATGTTAAATCCTACAATGAAATTAGGAGGTCCTCACTTTTTGGTACTTCAAATATTTATAAAGGTCATTAGATCTTTCAGTTTGAGGAATTTTTTCTACACTTGCAGTAGGCATAAAGCCACTCAATTATAAATAAATGCCTCAAACAATTTATAATGCTTATCAACTTGCGTTAGATCAATGCTAGCCAAATGTTCCAACCCTAACTTCGTCTAATTCACTAATCATCTAAAAGAGCGCGGGCTAAAAGCACTTAAATCTTGACGGAGTTTAGGAGAAACTCAAGGTGATAATTTTGATGAGACTTCACACATCTAAAATAGCTTCAAAAGTTTATTTGTCGCAGGGACTTAAAAAGGAGAATCCAGACGGCACCTTTGATCTTTTGGAATGGTGGAGGCAAGGGAAAACATTTTCCCTGGATTCTGCAAGGATGGCTCGGGAGTATTTTTATCTATTCAAGCGTTCAACAGTTGCATCAGAGAGCGCTTCGGTCAAGCAAGACTTCAAATAGGTGGATCATAGAGCGGTCTATGAGGGAGAGCTTGGAAAAAATCAGTACTATTCAGAGATTGGATCCGCTCGTAAAGAAGAAACTTTGGACTTGCAGAATCACAACTGGAGATAGACGAAGCTTATGAAGAAATGATAGCGGAACTTGCGGAGGATGCTGCTTCGCCCGGAAGCAGTGATGAACAAGCTTTTTTTCCGCCACCACCAACGGAACCTTCTCCGAACCTTGAAGGATTTATGAGATTTGTTAGAGATACAATGTAGATTATGGTGTAACTTGTACTTTGGCATATCTTCTTTAGTTTTTTTTTCCTTTTAATGGTGGTATTAGTACCTTATTGTGCTCATTCCATTGGGGGGAAGAAGACTAAGAAAGATATGCCATTCTTGGTAATAAAAATTATAAGACATGCCCTTGAATATCTCTTTGCAATATTTTTTTGTCTTTAACTTGCAATTATTTATAAGCTATAATATATATACATAACATACAATATATACTACAAGAAAATATATAAGGGAATATATATACATAACATACATTATATACTACAAGAAAATTTATAAGCTATAATATATATACATAACATACAATATATATATATATAAGGGAATATATAAGGGAATATATATACATAACATACTATATATACTACAAGAAAATTTATAAGCTATAATATATATACATAACATACAATATATACTACAAGAAAATATATAAGGGAATATATAGATAAATATAACATACTATATATAGTATACTATACTAGTATACTATATATATTATATATACATGAAGAAGTAGTACTATATATACTACAAAACAAGATTTTTCAAAATGAGGGCCCCACCCCCAATGACCACCAACGGTCATATTGCACAAATAGCCGTTTTTTTTTCAATTTACAAAACTAACCTTCTCTAACACTATAAGTACCCCCTCCCTCTTCTTCATTTCAATACTCAATGCTCATTTCTCAATCTAGATTTCTCTCAATCTCTCAATCTCCAATTTTCAAGACTTCAAGTCTCAATCTCAATTTTCAAGTTAAATCATGCCTCGTTCGGAAAGAGTGCGCTTATTTGTTTCGCAATACTATGAAGTGCTTGAAGAAAATGAAGAAGGCCAAATATTAAAGTGCAAGAACTGTGGAAGAGTCTTAAATTTTCGTTCAGGGTGTACCACAGGCATTTTAAGGAGGCATATAAAGTATTGTGTTGAGGGTATTTATCCGCAAATTCGTCTTTAAGATTTTTCAACAATTTGTATTATTTTAAAATTATTAGACGTATTTATGCTTCATGTTGAACTTTGTTATTAATTTATTATGCATGCCAATTTAGTTTTACTATTGTTTTGTTATTTTACTTTTACGTCAAACACTTTAATAATTAGATTTCTATATTATATATACTACATATATTTATATAGCCATGCATAAGAGCAATTTATATATATACATACATATATGGTTTACAAGAAATTGCCTTAAATTAAAAAAAATTAAAAAAAAAAGCCCGGAAATAAAAAAAGCCCGTTAGGCCCGCTAAGCCCACGAGCCCGGCCCATTTAGCCCAGGACCATATGGGCTTAGGCCCGTCACGGGCTGGTCCTACCCGTTGAGCCCGTGAAGCCCGGGACCGCCAGAGCCCGGGACCGCTAAGCCAGACCCTTTTAGCCCGGCCCGTTTAGCCCATTTAGGCCCGGGTCCGGCCCACCATACAGCCTTATAGATAACAGAACAATAAGGGTTTGAACCATCTACAGTGCAATAAGATAAAAGGAGCAGTAGACAGACATTTCTTGTTTGCGCAACTAATAAACTTAGAACTGTTTGGAAGTCAGGTATAACAGGTAGCACTCCTAAAGAATAAAAAAATTTAAATACCCACCTTTACGGTTCTCTTGCTGAATTTCTCAATATCCTCCTTGTTGCCAATCTGTAATCAGAACGCAACTATATCAATTATGTGAATGTACACACAAATGAGGAAAAATAAAAAGTGGACCCTAAATATAGAACATGACATACACTTTCCCAACCCTTTTCCTAGGGTGGAAGATACAACAAATTAAATTCAGTATTGAAATAAGCCCAAACAACAACAACAACAACAACAACAATCCCAATATAATCCCACAAGTGGGATCTGGGGAGGGTAGTGTGTACGCAGACCTTACACCTACCTGGAAGGTAGAGAGGCGGTTTCCGATAGACCCTCGGCTCAAGGCAAGATGAAAATAAGGCAGTAGCACAAGCATTAACAACAAGAAGATAACAAGAAAACGAAGCAAAGGGGACAACACGAAAAACTAGAAATCTAACAATAATGTCGCACCAGATTAACACTAATACTACTGGTGTGTAAAATAAACACAATAAGCCCAAAAGAGGTACTAATTTAACTATCAAACCTCTGTAGCCTTAGCCAAATCATCTGTGGCATCTTCCCTTCTAGAGTAACTGCATAGACAAGAAACAGGGTCAAAACGTGAATAAACAGGCAGGATGTCGTGGATATAATACAAAGAGCATATAAACTATAAAGGGAGCTAATAGTACCGTTTTGCAAGTTCTTGTTTCTTCAGATCTGGGGGCTTCCCATCAAAAACATAACTGTTACAAAAGACATAGAATTACTGAAAAGGAGCAAGGCAAGAAAGGGACAAAGGAAAAAACACAAACACCTAAAGCAGCAAATTACACTGGCTTGATTCCAGCTTCCAAAAGCCTAATTGTCCGCGAAAACATCCCAACCAAATGACTGCAAATGCACACAGCTATCATAATTAATAAAAGCGACAGCTTTGTAATGTCAACTTCAGAGTAAAATCATATAAAGCCTAACATAAACAATTATATAAGACAACACGTAGACAACTATGGTCCATTTTAATCTTTAAAGCAACAAACAAGACGCAAAATGTTAACCCTACAGTTCATTTTAAGACTATTACTATCTGTGGAGTAAAAAATGTTTTCCCTTTGACTACGAAAATAAAACATTTTTATTAAACTAAATTGCAACTTATATTCTTGTGTTGTTGTTATTATTTCCATGATGGTACTGGTATATTGTCTCTTTTTGTCTTTTCGTCTTCTTGAGCCGAGGATCTATGGAAAACAGCCTCTCTACCCGATGGGGTAGAGATAAGGTCTGCATACACACTACACTCCCCAGACCCCACTTGTGGGACTATACTGGGTTGTTGTTGTTGTTGTTGTAAAATTGCAACTTATAGTACTTCTTAACTAGTTTCTAAATTTGTAAATAAGAATTTTTTTTTTAAAAACTTAACAAACCAATGTATGAATTAAGACTAGATAGCTTGCCATTATTCTTTTTCAAACATGATGGATTCGAACACTCTGTGTCTAAAGTCAGTCAGAAATCATCACAAATTACAAAGAGTAAAGTCATGTTTCAGACAAATTAGAAGAAGAAAAAGTAAAATTTAATATACCTAGTAGTTTCCCCAGCTTCATTCGTGAGCATTTCCGTACCACTTCGTCCTACCACAATCTATACAACAGAAATTCACCATCAAATTACCCAGATAACTGCACATGCATTAATAGAGAATGCACACTGAACAGGTAAATGTACATACCAGGAACTGGTAAATGCTCATACTAGCGTCGATGGCTATTTTACGGCCAAAATAGCTCTCGAATTTCTGCTCTTTCATTCCCCTTGGCGCATTGTCCGCCAATAGCTTCGTTAAACCCTATAATTCACAGAGAACAGTTCATTTTATGAAATTGCTAGAGAAAAATTGATGGATTAAACACCATATTCCGCGTAAACATACCTTAATTCCCATTTTTGGGATAGAAGTCAGAAAAACAATGTCCCAGCAAGATGAAAAGAAGAAGCTTTAATTTCTAAAAGGTTGGGTACTAGGGTTTAATCTTTCCCGCCTCTTTGGTATATATATGGTATGTATATCCCTGAGTCATGTATTATAAGCTTGGTTTTGCTCGTATGCTTCGAGTTTAACTTTCTGAAATTTCCACTTGACCTGGTTATTCGCCACGTAAGAATGTGGCTCCACTGTAAGCCCAACGCGTAGGATGTCACTCGGACAAACCAGCTCGTGAATAGCACGCGCCTCGCCGATAGTCACTCTGCGGACTCGTAACAGGTGACGTATGTCACATTCTTATGTTATTCCCATTTGAAACAAAAACTAGAGGAAGGTAGATTTAAGTTTTTTTAAATACTAATAGTGCAATTCAACTTATTATTGCAAGTTATTATTTTATTTTTTAAGTTATTAAATGAGAGTTATGACCTGGGATCCGAGTCGAGAAAATATGTCAAAATACCAGTGGGATATTGTATGGGTCAGAATTCGGCCCCATGATAATTAACGAGGCTAATCCCGTTTTAAGTTAATTCATGATTAATTAGTGGCACGACCATTCAGAATTGACGATGTTCAGCCCGCATCTGGTTCGATCGACAAGGCCATGGCCTATCCGCCACCATAAAGGCGAGATCCCAACGTGGTCACGGCTACTTATTGCCAGCTCACGAAGCTCACAGCTATAAATACCAAGAGAGGGAACCCTAGAAAAGGGGGGCTTCTTCGTGACCACTATGGAGAAAGAAAAAAGGGACAACGATACCCAAAATTATGGGCAAGAGGAACACCATTGTAAGGCTCTGAATCTCTCCATGGAGAGGCAGACCAAACCAATATTATCAATAAAGGTTTCTAATGTTTCTCCCCCTAATCCTGAGTATTAATTTTCGTTTCCTTCATTTGGTCCAACGGATTATTACGGTTTGCTATGATTTTTTCGTGATTTATTTATATTGTTTTATACTCATAAGATATGTGATAACTTTTGAGCAAACAATTTGGCGCCGTCTGTGGGGATTTCCTAGCAAAATCGCGTAGTTCTTCCCTGGACCAAAAGGAAAAGATGCGCCAAACTCGAAGGAGAACTCGAACATCTCAAATCAAGATCTAAGTCCTCTCTCTCTCTCCAATCTCAGATAGTGCAAACAAGAAGAAGGGGCCCCCTCCCTTCCTAAGGGAAAGTCTCTATAAGGCACACGAGCTCCGGTCAGAAACCGGCACGGAGATATCTCGAGCCGAGAGTCGCCTCAGGACAGCCTAGATACCCTGGTTGGGAAGACAACGGATAAGTCGCTCAAGGTCTCGAATCCAAAACGAGTTTCAGCACTCAATACCCACAATATGGGACTCAGGCTACACGCCTTCATCATCAAAATCAACCAAGTTCAACAACAGTTGAACTAGGACTCAGGCTATGTGCCTTCGCCAGTAAAATTCAACTACGGTTGAACCATGACTCAGGCTATGTACCTTCGCCAAAAAGTTCAACTACGGTCGAACCATGACTCCGGCTATGTGCCTTCATCATCAAAATCAACAAAGTTCAACAACAGTTGAACTGGGACTCAAGCTATGTGCCTTCGCCAGTAAAATTCAACTACGGTTGAACCATGACTCAGGCTACGCGCCTTCATCATCAAAATCAACCAAGTTCAACAACAGTTGAACTGGGGCTCAGGCTATGTGGCTTCGCCAGTAATATTCAACTACGGTCGAACCATGACTCAGGCTACGCGCCTTCATCATCAAAATCAACCAAGTTCAACAACAGTTGAACTGGAACTCAGGCTATGTGCCTTCGCTAGTAAAATTCAACTATGGTTGAACCATGACTCAGGCTACGTGCCTTCATCGTCAAAATCGACGAAGTTCAAATATGGTCGAACTATGACTCAGGCCACGCGCCTTCGCCATTGAACTCAACCAAGTTCAACAACAGTTGAACTGGGACTCGGGCTATGCACCTTCGTCATCAAAATCGACAAAGTTCAACAACAGTTGAACTGGGACTCAGGCTATGTGCCTTCGCCAAAAAGTTCAACTACGGTTGAACCATGACTCAGGCTATGTGCCCTCATCATCAAAATCGACAAAGTTCAACCATAGTTGAACCAAGACAGGCTATGCGCCTTCACCAAAAAGTTCAACTACGGTTGAGCCAAGACAGGCTATGCGCCTTCACCAAAAAGTTCAACTACGGTTGAACCGGGACTCAAGCTATGTGCCTTCGCCACCAAATTTAACAAAGTCCAACAACAGTCGAACTGGGACTCCGGCTATGTGCCTTCGCCAATAAGTCCAACCACGATTGAACCAAGACTCGGGCTATGTGCCTTCGCCATTAAATCCAACGAGCTCGACCTCGCTCGAACTACAAGGATGGACGCCTTCGTCCTCAACTTTAGCAAGTTCAACCACAGTTGAATCGAGACTCAGGCCAAACGCCTTCATCTGTGAAAGCAAAGCCCGACCTCCAACAAATCGAAGCGCAGGATAAGCACCCTCGCCATTCAAGTAAGTTCTCCCAATGTGTGAAAGGCTAAGGCCATCTGCTAAGGCCATCGCCGCCAACGGTCGACCTAGATTCGACTACGGTGAGTAAACGACTCGACGACAGTCGAAGTCGCCTACATGGCTAAGGCCATCAATTATATCATGGCTAAGGCCATCGCCGCCAACGGTCGACCTAGATTCGACTACGGTGAGTAAACGACTCGACGACAGTCGAAGTCGCCTACATGGCTAAGGCCATCAACTATATTATGGCTAAGGCCATCGCCGCCAACGGTCGACCTAGATTCAACTGCGGTGGATAAACGACTCGACAACAGTCGAAGTCGCCTACATGGCTAAGGCCATCAACTATATTATGGCTAAGGCCATCGCCGCCAACGGTCGACCTAGATTTGACTGCGGTGGGTAAACGACCCGACGACAGTCCAAGTTGCCTTTATGGCTAAGGCCGTCGATTCTATCATGACTAAAGTCGTCGATCTAAATTCGACTAGGGCCGCCAACGTGAACGGTCAACAAAAAGCGCAACAAAAACTCTAAAGAACGAAAGAAAACAGTGACACAAAACAAGCACAAGGCAGGCAATGGAAAAGAAAATTTATATATTTACAAAGTCAATTGCGGGTCATCCCCGCTTACACCCGGCCAAGGCCGATCAATACGAGAAATAAAAAGAAAAATAACAAGAAACACCTAAACACCAAACGGCGAACAAGACGAGAAAAAATGCATAAACATCTTTTTACTCGGTACCGTCTACACCACCGTCTGCATCAGCGTCAGCCTCTGGCGTCGCCGCGTCAAAATCACAGTCGGCGCATGCCTCACGACCCTTTTGACGCGCCCCCTCGAAAGCAGCTTCGGTCACGACGCCAGCCTCCCACAAACTCTTATATACATCACGTTGGGCCTCGGCAAAGACCCAAAGTTCTCGAGCCTGGCTGGAAGAAGCGGCTTGATCCCGTAGCCGCTGATTCTCTTCTTCTAAGGCTGTGATCCGGTCCGCCATGACCTGGGCGTCCTGCTCAAAGACACCAATCTGCTCCTCGAGACTCGCTTCTCTAAAGGCCGCAGCATCCCTTTCCAATGCCCGTTGGGATTCGTGCACGCGGATAGCCTCCTCCAACGCCCCGGCCCTCGACGAAGCATCCCTCACTTGAAGCTTCAATGCCGCGACTTCACCCTCCAACGCGGTCACTTTCCCGCTCCATGCCGCAGCGGCCTCCGCCGCCTTGGCCTTGCCCCGGCGCTCGCACTCAGCTGCGACCCTCTTTACCGCCTCGAGCTCCTCATCCTTCCGGCGGAGCTGCTCCTCGAGAGCACTCGTCCTGCCAAGTATTTGCTGCATCTGAAGCTCCCGCCTCGCCAGCTCTTCGACCAAGGCCCGGCTACGAGGATCATTCTTCAAGCGCACGCGCAACTCTCGGCACTAATCTCGGTAGCGGCGATACTTCTCCAACGCCTGCAAAAATATCCCCGAGCGGACCTTGGCTCGACGGATGCTCTCCACCTCCAACAGATAAGACTGCAAAGCAAAGACAACGATTAGAATAAAAGAATAAACTTAAGGCAAAGAAGAAGCGAACCGACGTAATAGTACATACCCTCAAGCCCATTACGGCTACTTCATCAGTCCGACATCCGTAACGCCCCTCAACGATGCATTCTCGGCCTCCGAGCATAGCAGCTCGAACTGCGGCACCAAGCTTTCCCCTTGGAGCAATAAGTTCAATTCCGTGGGAACCTCGATGAAGCGAGATCGCCCCCCTGCGCGCACCGCTGAATTGGTGGAGCTTTCCTGGAACATACGGACGTCGTCGGGATCCAAGTCGGATTCAGACTCATCCTCACCCCCTACAACATCTCCTCCCCCTTCAGCCGCCGGCGAGGTGGAACCTCCCGCTGCAGCCGCCGAAGGAGCGCTTGCCTCACCCACATTAGCAGCCGCTGAGGAACTACCCCCGTCTCAGTGACTGGAACCCCCAATTGAGTCGCCGAAGCGACGGTATCATCACGACCTGAGCCAACCGGGGCAACCCCCAGTGTTTGTCCGCCCTCAAGGGCAGGCGCCGCAGCCGCACTCCTCTCCGCATCCGCCGGGGGGGAGTCCAAATTAATTACCACAGGAGGAGCCGGCGCGAACACGACCCTACGCCTTATCAACGGCCTCTCCTCCTCCCCATCTGATGACGATTCCGCTCTAGGGCGCACGACCCCTCGACGGCCCCTCATCCCGAACGCACG